AGCGCGGATCCCGGCTCCGGCTCCTGCTGCTCTGCCGCCGCAGCTGCCAGCCCCGGCGCGGCCCTAGAGACGGAACCGAGCCGAGGAGCGGCGGCGGCGGCGCCCCGCGCTCCCCAGGGCCCTGACGGCTACGGCAGCCCCACCTCCCGCGCCCCCGCCCCCTCCCGCCGTCCTCCAGTCCCCTCAGCTGCAGCATGCGCGTCAGCGCCGCCTGCACTGCCGTCGCCGCCGCGAGCTTCCGACTGCGCGACCCGCGGCCGCCGACGCTACTGAGCATGCCCAGAGGCCGCCCGACGGGACCCCCGGGGCGGGGACACTGGGAGACCCGGGCCAGCTGACAGCCACCTGGTTCGGGCGCGCACACTCTGAGACTTTCACACCCCCACCCGGGGCCCGCGTTACGAGGCCATCAATGCTGCTGTGCCTTCATTCACTCAGTGCGCGTTTCAGCGCTTCCCGGCGTCGGCTCAAAGGCCCCGGGGCTTCCATTTGTGAGCAACGGTCAGTCAAGTGTTAGGACGGTTAAGAGACAGCAGCAGTGCCAAGGATGGCTTGGGTGGTGGGGGGGACCCCTTAACTGCAATCAACTCTCTCCAACTCTCACCCCACACACAAACGATAGGAGTAAAAACAGGCAGCTCCTTTAGAAGCACCTTCAAAACACCCTTCAAGTTAATCCTATTCACTTTCCCTAAATTGGTGCCTCGAAACGGCTCGTAAAAAAATTTGGAACTGATAATGATTTCAGACTGCAGAAGGTAATCTTAATTCATTTTTTTAAGTGGATACTTTGTGTGTGTGTGTGTGTGAAGAAAGCTGTTTTATTCCTTTCTCCCATTCGACCCTTAGTGCCGGTTCCAAGGTCCTCAACGACAGATGACTAACTGGGTCAAAGGCAGAAGAGGTGTACCCTGGTAGCTAGGAGAGGTTCTAGAATGGGACTCTAAAATTGATTCCTGTGTCTGCCACTGGCATTTTATGTAAAAGGTAGACGGACGAAACAAGAAATTTTTTGGTAAGATCTTAGAAGTCTGATTGTGTCCTACTAACAACACCTGTCCGCTGCTGGAGAAACCCACACACCTGGGAGAGACGTAAAACCTGGCTTGGATTCCCTATTCTCAAGGCCCTGCCCATGAGCTCCAGGATCCCGCCCCTCAAGACTGCGCAAACTCGGTTGTTACTTTCTAGGTCTCTTCCTCCTCCTACCTCCTGCAGCTGTCAAAATCCGGACTGTACACTTCCTTAAGGCCCGGAACGTAGTTCTGCGCATGCTCAACATTAGCTTGGGTGGATAATACACACGTGCTTACGGACTGCCGCGGCGCCTGCGCGGTAACAGCTTGGAGTCGATGCCCTTAGGACGCCTTTCGCACCTTGACTCCATATCTCTGCGCTAGCCCGTTTGTGTTCGGTGTCCTGTGCACACGCCTTGCAAGTGACGGCGCCATGAGTCTGAATTCCAACGTACGAGGTGAAGTGGGGCCTGGGAGCGGGTGAGGCTGGCGGCCTGCGCACCAGTTGCAGCTTCGTCAGCTCCTCTCTAGGCTGTTACCGCTGCTCCGCGCGCCCGCTGTCATGTAACCTTGAGATGCAAAAGAGCAAGCTCTTGGCCGGTCTGGGGGCTCTCTGGGCTCCTTGGGCCAGATGGGGAAAGTGATATAGATTGGTGGTATCCCCAGGCTTAATTGGCTTGGGGCGATGCAGGCATCTACGCAGGTCTGGATCACGTTTCCCCTAAGTAGCCAAATCCTAAAACCCAGCGATCCCGCTGCTTCCTTTTCGTGTTCTCTCTTGAGACTCCTCTGTTTTTAAGTCACAGGGCTCGGGAAAAGGGAAAAGAAAAACAACAACAAAAACCCTATTCCCCCTTCTCACGTTTAAATCACTGTGGAGCCAGAAAGTGGATTTCCTGCAACCTTGAAGGGATGCATGACTAATCACATTTTAGTTTTGCACATTTTTTTAAAGGGAAGAAACCCAATCCGAGATTTTCAGTTTTCCCAGATTTTTATTATGCCTCTGCATCTGGCTCTTGTTGGCAGTAGTCCAGGAAAGATCATTCCCCAAGCTTACTGAACCTTCAGTTTTTTCAGCCTTGCTTCCCTTGTGCTAATACCTAACGTTTGGAAACGTTACTTCACAGAAAGTCCAATTAAAATTAAGAGACTTTTTAGAAGTCAATTAATGAGCTTCACTTCATGACAGTTCCTGGTGGTGGTATAATTGTTAATATAATACTGTGCACCAGCTACGTGATACATATGATCTCTCTGCCTGGTATCATATGATCTCTGCCCAGTATAAGGTTTGGTTACCTGTAATAGTTAAGGTAAAGAAATTATCCAGAAATTAAAAATAACTCCATTGATTAATTTAGTAAATAGTTAACATCTAGAGTGCAGATTCTGTAAAAGGTCCCTACTAACTTGAGCCCTAATTTTGTAATAGATTTTATAAATTGGAAAATTCCACTTCTGTTGCCAAAAGTTACCTGGCAGAGTGAGAGCAACAGCTCATGACATTTTTAAGTTTCTATGAGGTATACAGGGGGTGATTATTTGCAAAAATTATTTCAAAAAACACTCATCTTGAGTCTCCTTTAAGTAGAGGTGCTTTGGTGCATTTAAAATAGGAGTGATTTTTTTTTCTTTCTTTTTTTTTTTTTAAAAAAGTACATCTCACGAATAAGACTATTGTGTAAAATAAAGTATTCATGTGACTTGAGCCACTAGTAATTTTATAGCAAGACAGTTTGCACTTTTGTGATCATGGGAGAAAAGATTCCGAAATGTGTCTTTAAAAAGTGGAGTCACTTTGTGTAAATGGGTACTAAACTTTATTTAGGTAATATACTATTGAAATGTGAAATAGGTGAACCCTAGGACTTCTTAAAACTACCTGCAGGCTAATCTTTCTTGCAATCAAGGCAGATTTGTTGTTTTTTTTTTAAGTCTAACCATACGGGTATCCAAAGGTGACTTTCCCATTAGTTAGCCATTTTCTAAGGGATAGGAAATTGCTTGGTGAAGAGGATTATTAGCTTAAACTTGAAATATTCAGCTTTGTTATGAGAAGTAACTACTTTTTGTTTCACCCAAAAGCATAAAATTTATTGTGAGAACTGTGCGGAGAGGCCCAAAACCTTTGGAAATCTTTTCTGCCAGCACCATCTTTCTTAAATACAGCAGTTGACAAGGTAGAGACTGATAGAGAAAGTCTTGGGAATCCACCGTGTAATGTTTAGGTCTCAAATTGTTCTCTCAATTTTTGAACCAAACCTTATTTCTATAGATTGAGAATCAATTAAGATTATTTGATTTTGGGGAAGAAGACCTGCAGTTAAATAAGTTAATAATTATAAAAGGTGTAGAATAGTATTTGACAACGGTAAGCACAATGTACGTGAGATAAAAAATAAAAGGGTATGTGTACGCATGCAGAATTTTTGTTTATATTGAAAAGAAAAATAATAGGTGGGTTATACAGGCCAGGAATCTGAGAGATGTAATAGAAATGAGTGATTAGAATTGAAATCCAGAGATCAATGAAATGGCTCTTGATACCCTTTGGCCTATAATACTAAACTTTTTTTTTCCTTGTTGAGGTATAATTGACATATATATACCAAACTTATTTTTTATTTGATACCAAATATTTTATTATAGTTTATTATAGTTTCTAACATTAAATGGCTTTTACTACTATGGCGTCCCCAGTCTCCGTTGACTCCTCATACCCAACAGAAGACTTTTAGGAAGTTTACTAAACATTCTGCTCCTTGATAAACTACAAAACTCACTGAATCTGCTCTCATCCTTAATCCCTCCCTTCTATTTGCAAGGAAGAGGTTAATTGAGGTCATTCTCTTTGTCCCCCAGATGTTGGTTTTCTCCTGCTTCCTTAAACTCTTGCCTCAGTAATACCAATTGCTCTCATCCTCTCATTCACAGGGGTTTTCTTCAGCGCAAAGCCACTCATAATTTGCCCTCATCTTAAAACAACAACTTAACCAAATATTTTAAACGGGATTCCATAACCTGGTATCCCCTCAAATCACTTTTTGTTTTCATACTTTGCTCACCTTCAGGTTACAAAATAGGCGTTCATCTATCTATCTTGCATTTTATTAGCCATTCCAAACCGTGAACACTACAATGCATGTAAGCAAAACTAAATGTCATAAGTTTTTATTTTTTTTTTTACTTTTATACCCTTGTCTGTTTTATTGAAACTATCATAATTTTCTAATTAATTTAACCTCAACATATGAAAATACTATTTGGGTTCAATAAATGAGTCATTTAAAGTAACTAAGAGTTTGGTTTTTTGAAAAGGAATGTGCAGATCGGACTGAGAATAGCTCCTATGAGTTATAAACAAGTAATGGGGGGATCGGGGATATAGATGAAACAAGATTGGTGGTGAGTTCATACTTCTTGGAGCTGGGTAAATGGAAGTTCATTATAGTATTCTCTGTGTATGTCTGAAATGTTTCATAATAAAGTTTTATTTTTAATCTCAGCAAGTATTTAAATTCCATACTTTGTTATAATAGCATAAGACAAGGCCAAAGATAAGGCATTTGATGTAAGAGCAATGTGATGGTGATAGGATGGACAGATGAATCTGCAAATTCAAATTAGTAATCTATTATTTCTTTTTCTCAATTTACATTGAACATCCCCTGTATTCTAGGCCTTGAGAGAGAATATCAGGTGTGCCCTACCTATCTGGGGGAAACCTAAGGAAGGGAAAGATTTAAACACAGTTCCCCTCCCCCTCTTCTGAGATGAAAGGAACATTCTGATTCTGTGGCAGTTGACACTGGGCAGGAAAGGACAGTTTGAGGCAGAAAGAGGGCTAAAGGAAAAGAAGCAGGGTGAGATTTTTGTGTAAATTAAAGCAAAATAATCTGAGAGATAAGCAGAGGGATACTATGGATTATAAACAGGGGTGCAGGATTTGGGAATAAGTTCGTATTTTCTCTATCTCTGAATAATACTGAGGAAAATCAAAGATTATACAGTAGTAAGCCAAGGGAAGAGTGAGAAAGGGAGAGATTATTTAGGAATGTATATCCTGTATTTTGTTCTTTATATTGGTTCACTAATGGTATTTGTGAAGATAGCATTGTTAAGCGGGTTTGGATAAGATGGGGCTTGGTCTAACTATAGGAATACTGTACCTCGAGAGATGTCTGTAGGAAGATAAAGGAAGTGAGCATAAACCAGAAGAGGCAGAAATAATACACAGAATGTTTCTGGACTCCAGTTTAGAGTGTCTGAAAGGTGTCAACTGAAATATCTTTAAAAAAAATTAGGTCTTGTTAAAGTTCCTTGTTGCCTCCGAGATTGTGTCTATTCTTAATAGACATTTACACTACCAAGGACTAAATGTTACTTAGGTTTTAATGTTTTTGTTTACTGTCTCGTGTTTTCAATAATTCTTTTTCTATTCTAATTGTTAACTTTTGATTCCATCATTCTCGTGTATCTTCATATAATTTCCTTTTCCCTAGAGTTGACAGTGGCATCCATAGATTTTTGCCAGAAAAGGCTGATTCAGGCTGCAGTAATGAAATGATAACAGCAACATTTTTATATGGTGGGAACTTTTATACTTGTCTCTAATGAGATTAGAGAATTAGAATTTGAGAAGGGAGAAAAGGAAGAAATGGAAATGCTCAAGACCTTCTCTAGGTCTGATTCTAAAAAACTGATGGGAGCAAATACATAGCCATTTTCCTAGCATGCTTGTGTGTATGTGACACTTATGTAGGGTCATAAGTGACCCTTGCTAGGAAATAGGGTCACAAAGTACATGTTTTTATCCCCCATGGGGCAGCCACTGTTGGGTAATATCCAGAGTTAGTTCCCATTTCTTTCATTTTCTGTTGCCTGTTTTCTATGTTCTGTCATTTCTTTTACCATCAAAAAATCCAGGGAGATAAATGTTTAAAAAAATAAGTCACTATATGGATTTAGTTGGCAATATGAGAAAAGAGAATAGGAGGATGTTTTAAAGGCTAAGAGAGATTCTTCTGGCCTATTATGAGTTTCAGGTAGAAATTCCAATTGGATTTTTTTATACCGTGAGATAAATTAATACTAGCCAATTGAAGCTATTCTTTGGACCTAAGGCTTTTTTTGAAATATGTAAAACAAATCTGTTAGAGATTACTTCATAAGTCACCTAAAAAGTAAGGTGTAACAAAGATCAACAGCATTTAGGAAATCGTGTTATTTTAGTCTTTTGGAATATTTCCACTTTTAAATTTATTCTAAAGATAACATTCAGCAAACATAATCGAAAGTATACTATACAAAGCAATATTTTAGCCCATTTTGTGATAGGTATGTTAACTATTCAGAGTGGTTTTCCATTAGTGAAGAAGTGGATTACCGTAGCTCCTGACGTAGAATATTTTCTCAAGGGAGTTACATGGTAAATAATGCATCAAAAAGGAAGATCATGAATCAGGCTAGAAATCAGAGCAGAGTTTCAGCCCTGCTTGGAATTGCCACAGGGTAACACATACATACCATGGAACCTTCAATGAGGCCAAAGGTTTGAAGCTGTCAAATGACTTATTAACTTTTTCTCTTAGTCATGCAGCACCTAGGAAGAACATATGTTAATGTAATTTTAGGGAATTGTAGCAAGGAGGAATGGAAATGTTAGGGGAAGGAAAACAAATTAAATTACTTTGTAGAGAAAAATATTGTGGTTGAAATAGAATCCAAGGAACATGCTAATGAGAAACACTTGTTAAAAACTAAATTATTAAATAAGCTAGACAAAAGGCCAAGATAAAAGGAACTAAGTGTGAGAATGGTTGTTCCTTTCCATTAGAGTTTTGCAGGAAGGAGCTCCAATTTTATTTAAGGCACTATTAGGTAGGTAATTAATCATATTAGTGCAATAAGAAATGTGACTCAATAGTGCAAATAAGCCATGCAGTTACTTATTCATTATATGTTTTTATTTGGCCTTGGTATGTGTTTTTTGTACTTATCTCTCTAGGGCTTTATTTGATAGTCTGGGAATTTATTTCAAACACTGTGAAGATCTGACTCAGCATGTGCTGGGAAGCAGTCCTGTGTGTTTATTCTGACCCCTGTTCAACTTCTTCCTGCAGTCCACTCCATGCTGAGAATAGACAACTCTCCTCTGAGGCTGAGGCTAACCAGACTATGCAGAACTTTCTTCTCTCCAACATTCTCTGGAACTGGGGTAGATGTTAAGTGCTTGGGTTTCTAAGGGCTCCTTGAAAAGCTACGTGAAATGGATAAATAATAGATAGCCTGTTAAGCAAATGATTAGTAGAAAAGTATCATTAAATTTAAAATGAAGTTTGTAGGGAATCCAGATAATCATCCACTGATGGATAATGGAAATTTACAGTTTATTAAATGAGAATATAATAGTCATGAGAATATAATTTCATGAAAATTATATGAAATAAGAAATTAGTACATTCTGAATTTTATTTTAATGAGAAAGCACTTTGAAAATTAAAAAAAAAATCTTTTGAATGATTTTGAAGCCTATAATCCTGCTGGATATATTCCTTTGAATGTTTAATATTAAACCTGATTTTGTCTTATTTGTCCTTTTCTTTTTCTTTGGATACCAATTCTGTTTCTAGTTATGTGTTTTAAAACCACTAAAGGACCTACTATTTAAATGAATTCCGATGAGTCATTTTGTTAACATAATCACCTCCTGATTTTTTTTTTTTCGAGCGGGGGAGGTCTTATGTGTAATCTGAATTTTTTTATGTATCTTTATTTTAAGCAATAGGTACCTGCAGGTTCATGTTATTATAAATCTTTTTATGAATACTTTTAAAAGATTATTAAGCTTTATTTTCCCTTTTCCACCTGTAAAATAATTTTTGAGTTTCTCTCTTGTATCTTAATTTAGCTATGATTACTCAATAAAAAATACACAATTGCCTGAGTAAAGTCTGGGGAAGGTCTTAACAAAGGAGTGTTAAACCAATGTGTTCTGATCATTCTGCTATTATTAAAAATCTTGGGCTGTTGGGATGCTTAATACTCAAATACTGATTTCATGAACAGTCATGTTAGATTATTAGCATATATTTTGGTTTTGATAATAACTCCTGTTTTCCTTCCCTGCTCTAGTTGAATGGATTGCAGCAGTTACCATTGCTGCTGGGACAGCTGCAGTTGGTTATCTAGCTTACAAAAGATTTTATGGTAAAGATCATCGCAACAAATCTATGGTTAACCTTCACATTCAGAAAGACAACCCCAAGGTCGTACATGCTTTTGACATGGAGGATTTGGGAGATAAAGCTGTGTACTGCCGTTGTTGGAGGTCCAAAAAGGTGAGGAAAACAAGTCCTAATAGAAAGACCATCTTTAACATTTCTTTTTAAACTATTCTATCAAACTTATATCACCAGATAATGTTATGTCTTTTTCTTTTTTAATGCATTCTCTTCTCTGTTTTCCATGTACTCTTCAGGAATATATTTACTAAAATATATATCCACTGTGCAGTAAAATTAAATCATACTGTCATTGAGTTCAGGTAAATATAACCATATTCTTAGCCAAACAAGAGAGAGAAATCCCTTTATTTACTCTTAGGATTTCCTGCTTGAGTGGATCTTAGCTGCCACTATCCTAGGAAAAGCATACAGCCTAAGCACAGAGAGAAATTCTTGTGCTTTCAAGCTCCTGGGTTCTAGGACAATTTTTGGAACTTTCAAGAGAACGTTTTGGAAAATCAGCCTTGAAAATTTCTTATCTGGTAAACATATTTACCCTGCATCCTAAGCTTTCTTTAAGCTACAGCTCCTATAGTTAAATATCTAACACAGGATTTCTTAAAATCTTATTTTTTTTTGTGAGAATTGCATTTCATCAAGTTCTGTTTGGAAGTGTCATCTGGGATACCTGCAGCTTTTTTTTTTTTTTTTTTTAGTGATGACAGCTAGTGATCTAAAGATGGTAAAATGCTCTCTTAAGGTCATCTTGAAGCTTCATAACATTGAATGACTTCAGAATTTCCGATATATTATAAGAAATACTGTATGTGGTGCTACTATAAACATTTAAATAAAATAGATTTCACTAAAGATCACATTGTAAAGACCTAAGAAAATGGACAATAAAAATGTTGTATCTTTTTCTGAAAGCACATTATGTCAGGGACCTCTTCCTACATTGGAGAGCCATTATCACAAATCATATATCACAAATAAGGAAGAAGTCACATAGTAGGTACTGGAAAGTGTATTCCACTAACCTCCTTCTCCCAATATATTGATGTTGAATAATCCAGTGATATAGTGCTTAGATTATGTCATTATATCTGAAAAATACTTGTTGAACATATGGAATATGAACCAAAAATTAATAGTGCCATTACAGCAAATTGTGCCTTAAGAGCACTGTGCATTTGGAATGTGAGATTGTTCATAAGTACTAGTGGTGTTGCTAGAAAATAATTCTCAATAATATTCTATAGACAACCTGGTTCGTTTTTAAAAATTATGCCTACAATGAGTTTCATTCTCTTGTTGCTCACCAAAATATAGAAAGTAATATCTTTAGGGAATTCCTAAGTCCAAATTGTAATTTTAAATTGTTCATTTAGTGTGTACTATATATACGTGCATGAGAAAAGTTAAATAGTAAAACAGCAGGTATCATAGGTGTATATAGTGATTGCAGTCTCAGCGCTTTAAATAAATGAAAGAGCTTATATTGTAGGCTGGAATTTCCTGGGAAGACAGTGTTGTACAAGGAGTTAAACTGCCCCAGGAAGATTGGTGGCATTTGAATAAACCAGCAAGTATTGGGGACTCTTTCTCAAAAATCTTTTGGAAAGGACTCCTATGAGCAAAGGTAGGATCAATGAAGAATGCAGTCTGGTCCTTGCCTCCCCTCCCCGCAGGAATAAGTCCAAATTGAGGAGAATCTTGAGTATACCAGTATAAGGAGCTCGTGCCTCCAGACGTGGGGGAGCTCCTTGTCGGCGGTTCCAGACATAAAGTTTTGATATTTATATTAGGATGCCAACTGTTGGAATGGAAAAAAATGGATAGATACATGAAACATTTTGAGGGAAGGATCGGTCAAATGCAATGACCTATATATGTGGAAGACTGGGGAGAAAAAACTAAAACTCACTGAAGTATATAAGCCTGTAGGATTGATTAGAAGAGGTAGTCCCATTAACAGAAATAAGGAATTCAGGACGAAAAGTTGATTTCCTAGGACAGTGATGGGGAGTTCAAGTCCAAAGAGTGACTTAAAGGTGACACTTGAATGGAAATGTACAGCTGACAATCTGAAATGAACTAAACTGAGACATCAGGGTTAGAGATAGAGATCAGCAAAACGGATGAGTCAAGCATAGGAATGCAACCACCAACAGATCCTTGATACAGATAAAAATCAAGGGCTAAGTATGAACTCTTAGAGAATTTTCTGCATTTTGGAAAGAAGAGTAAGAGCCAAAAAAGGAGATAAAATGGGTTGGAGTTAGAAGAAAAGAATATCATGGATTCACAGTGGAAAGGGGGAAAGTTTCGAAGATTTTGTTGTGAATATTGGCTTTTGCAAAATCAACCAGGTGAATAGACTGTTGTAATTACACCGTTGGATTAAACAATTAGTCAATTGATATTTTGGTGTTATTTCAACAGAATAGTTAGAATAGAAACTGTATTCAAGTGGGTTGAAGTGCGAATTACTAATAAAGAAATGCTAGAATTCTGAGTATATGTAAGAATTTCAGTAAATGTGACAGTGAATGGAAAAGTAAGATAACAGCTTTAGTGAACTCCAAAGCTTAGCTTCGAGGTCACGTAAAAGGTGTTTACTTTGGGTGGGTTTTCCCAGAGGATAAAGGGTCAGTAAAGCAAATATGGACTTTCATGGACTAAAATCTCAATTATTTCAGGAAGAATCACAAATGGACAGAAGCTATTGATTTAAATGTTTATTAGATTTTATAGTTCAAAAAACCATTCCAGGATTCTGGCATAATACATGTTAGAGTGTCCAGATGGTTAAATTAGGGATTACCATTTCTCATAGGTAGACTTTAAGGAAGGGATTTTTTTGCCAGACCACTAATTTTATTTTCAGTTTCCTCAATGTCTTTTTTTAATTGATTTATCTTTGATGTCATTAGTGATCTTTGTATCTAGGATTTGTCAGTTCTGAATTTTCACTGATTCTTGGGTACTTTTTATTCTCTCATGAATAAATTAAGAATTCAGTTTGAATATTCAAGTTAATAGATGTTGTTATTCTTCAGGCATCTTTGGAAGCTCTCCACATTCTGAGGTTCCTAAGGTTATCACACCGGTGCCAAGTCACACATTTTGGTGTCAATGCACAGAAGACTTGTAATTAACACCTTTGATTAGAAAACTGTATTGAGTTTATATTCAGTATTTTTTCCTTACACAAACTAGTTGGGTTTATAATAAAACTTAAATGCTTCTTTTATCTATTTCAAAATAAGTTATATGTAATATAAACTTTAATTTCATCCTAATTCATTTTTTTTAGGATTTTCTTTTTATGGCTGAATAATATTCCACTGTTTGTGTATATATCACATTTCATCCATGGACACTTAGGTGTTCCCAGATCTAGGCTATTGTAAATAATGCCACAGTAAACATAGGGGTACATATATCTTTTTGTTTTTAGAAGTTATTTATTTATTTATTTTAAATTTTTTTTAAAAAATTAGCCCTGGTGTTACTGCAAGTATGTGAGATGATTACCGTCGCAGTCTGGGGTAACTGTCTTTTTTTTTTTTTTTTTTTTTATGCCTGTAGTACCTGGTCTTCTTAGGTAGTCTCTCATCCAAGTACTAACCAGGCCCGACCCTGCTTCGCTTCCGAGATCAGACGGGATCGAGATCAGACGGGATCGGGCTTGTTCAGGGTAGCATGGCCGTAGACCATATATCTTTGTGAATTAGTAGTTTTGTTTTTGTGTTTATGTGGATTTTTTAAAATTTATTGGGCTGACTATTATACACTTGAAGCATCCTAATTCATTCTTAGGTACAATCACTGGTTTGTTATGTGCATCTAACATGAACAGTTTTCCCAGATCTAATGAATCAGATCTCTTAGTAGTGTGCAGAAATTACATTTTTTTAACACACCTCATTCCTCTTGTCTTCCCCCCAGGATTGGTATGCCCTCTGCTGTTTCAAAAACTGGCCTGTTTTGTAACATTTTACAAAAGCGTTATCCATATGCGAAGTGAGAATGAAAAAAGCCAGTAGGGAGGAAATGATTAAAGCGACTACAGGGAAAGATACTCTTTGAGGCAGTGGTGTCTTGAAAGAGGGTGGAATGAAATGAGGCTAAGAGCACAGACGTGAAACTCAGCCTTAAAAAGAAGAGATAGTCTTACTTTGGAAACAGGATGAGGGAATGTTGATGTAAGAAGGCAGAGTATGCAACATAGTCTTGCTAGATTCCTGTCCCACTCCCACTTACCTCAGGTAGGTCACATCGTTGGCTCAGTTGTATGATGGTCATCTGGGAGGCAGCGGTTTGAACAAGGACGGCAGAAGAATGCAGACTAAGAAATAAATAGGAAAGGCATGCTAGTTAACATCAGGAGTTCAGCTGAAATTGAAAGGAAATGCAACTGGACATACTATGTAGAATCATTTCCTTTCATTTACAGTTTCAGAAATTGAGTTGGGGGTGTTTTGTTAGTGGTGGGCTTGTTTTTGTTTTGGTATGTGTGTCTATTATAGAAAGTCTCCATCTTATTCATGGTTTAGAGATGGGTTGCACTGAATCCATTTATTCATAGAAACATTCTGAATTTTGGTCAATCCACATAAGGACAATCTTATAAAATCTTAATATCTGTTTATACATTTTCCTATTGTATCTACTATCTTAATGTTTGACTAAAGTGAGCACATAAGAATGGTATAAAATGTTATATTCTCCCAGGAAGTTTCAAAGATCTCATTGTTTTTTTCTTTCAACCAAAGCAGTCATGTTTCTCAGCAGTTTATTGTAGTGAGCCAGAACGGCCTCAGGCAACTTCTTTGAGAAATACAATCCGTACTCTCATTAAAAATACAAAGTTTGGAGAAGGAAGATAAAATTTTTTCAGTTCTTGGATATAGAAGAGATGAGTCAAGAAGGAGTGTATATTTATTTCTATCTAAAAACAGAAAACAGAAACAACCATAACTTGAGCCATCATAACTTGAGCCATGGGCCATTAAAAAGAAACACATTTTATGTTTTTTATGAAGACCCTGATAACGCTGTTAGCTTTCCAAGTGGAGGGAAAGAATCCTGGTGTTTTTTTTTTCCCC